CTACTTTTATTATCAGTGGTAATAGTTACCCCATGTTATGATTTTAATCCTTTATTTTGTCGTTTTATAGTCGGTGCTGAAGAAGAGAGACAGTATACAAGTAGAATATGAACTAACACAAGAAGACTCTATAAAAAAGAAGAACGAGAGGGAACAGGTAGCCACTGTAACTGAATCTCATTAGCATATTCAGTATAATTTGAAGCAATGATTTAATAATCTAGTAATCATGTGTTCATCTCATTAGCATATTCAGACTGATTTGTGGCAATGATTTAATAATCTAGTAATTATATCTGCACATCTCATTAGCATATTCAGTATAATTTGAAGCAATGATTTAATAATCTAGTAATCATGTGTTCATCTCATAAGCATATTCAGACTGATTTGTGGCAATGATTTAATATTCTAGTAATCATGTGTTCATCTCATTAGCATATTCAGACTGATTTGTGGCAATGATTTAATAATCTAGTAATTATATATGCACATCTCATTAGCATATTCAGTATAATTTGAAGCAATGATTTAATAATCTATTAATCATGTGTTCATCTCATAAGCATATTCAGACTGATTTGTGGCAATGATTTAATATTCTAGTAATCATGTGTTCATCTTATTAGCATATTCAGACTAATTTGTGGCAATGATTTAATAATCTACTAATTATATCTGTACATCTCATTAGCATATTTAGTATAATTTGAATCACTGATTTAATATTCTAGTAATTATGTGTTCATCTTATTAGCATATTCAGACTGATTTGTGGCAATGATTTAATAATCTACTAATTATATCTGTGCATCTCATTAGCATATTTAGTATAATTTGAAGCACTGATTTAATAATCTAGTAATTATGTGTTCATCTCATTAGCATATTCAGACTGATTTGTGGCAATAATTTAATAATCTAGTAATTATATATGCACATCTCATTAGCATATTCAGTATAATTTGAAGCACTGATATAATCTAGTAATTATGTGTTCATCTCATTAGCATATTCAGACTGATTTATGACAATGATATTATAATCTGCTAATTATATCTGTACATCTCATTAGCATATTCAGAATAATTTGAAGCAATAATTGAATCTAGTAATTATATAATTACATCTCATTAGCTTATAAAATGTACATGAGCTTACTGATAGAGCAAATGTGGTACATGTCTATCATTACATTTCATTATCATATTTATGTTATACATGCAAAGTATTCCACTATGGGACTGTTAAAATGTTGTTGATCTGTTTATTGTTTGATGAATAGTATTTGTTGCTGCTTGCTTGATTATTCAAAGCTAATTACAAAATACTATTCTTGCATGTGTATTAACACCTTCCAATGCACCAAGTGACTGGCGATTCTTTTTTTTTTTGCCGCTAACAAACACATTTTCTTTATCTGTACATTGTGGGAGGAGGGGAGAGGGGTTCTTATTGTTAGCAGTGCTAAGAGAGCCCACTATAAAAAAAATTCATAATTTGCATCAATAATTACATATTTAAATTTTCATTCATTTTTGTATGATTTCTCATTTACATAATTCTGTGTCTCTGATAATTTACACAACCATCATTACTTGTTTATTAATTATTATCCATTATTAATCCCTGATTTCATTTCCCTAGTCTTACTTTAATTCATTGAGTCAAAAATTCTGTTTGAAATGTGAATCAGGAAAATGATGAAAATAACACAAACAAGCTGTTACAGTTGGTTACCTACATAGTGACACTATAATATAAATGATTAAATCTCATTAAAATGTGCCTAAGCTACTGGTAGAAATCCCTAATTGACCATCTACCTTATATGTGAGTAGTGTTCGGATCTCATACTAATAGCAGATCTTGTGTTACAGCCCAATTTCTAGTAAGGCAGTTAGAAGCAATGTACACAGGCAACCAGAATTAAAACTGACTAGAGCTACTACGTATCTCAAATTTTTTATCAGATTTAATTTACATAATCTGTAACTAAGTAGGTAAAGTTAAATTGACACACAGTAAAAATCATAGGTCATCTTTAACTCTATTACTATCGTTACCCTAGCAATGTTGTTACATGTGACTGCTATATTAGTGTACCGGTACTGATTCTAGCAACTCTAGCATAAAATGCAGCGATTCGATTGATTGATCGAATTATTAACGAGTTGTGGCTCAACCATATGTGCAGGCATTTGAAATTGGCTGTAAACAAAACCACACTCAACGATGATTGAATTTGAATGGTTTAAGAACATGGTAGCAGTGTTTGATCGAATTATTAACGAGTTGTGGGTCAACCATATGTGCAGGCATTTGAAATTGGCTGTAAACAAAACCACACTCAACGACGATTGAATTTGAATGGTTTAAGAACATGGTAGCAGTGTTAGGTTTTGTCTGCATATTTACTAAATATAGAAGTTGATATGATCATCTTGTAATTAAATGTATATAGTCTGAGACAGCTGGATGGAATTACCAAAAGAGAAACACAATATTAAAAAACATATTTCTTGCACAGTCAACAAATTTATTCAGTTGCTTAAACATGCAAATCAGTGGGGGTTTGTGATTGGCTGTCATTTGCAGTGTAAAAGTCATACAAATTCATATATGTTCGAGGGCAAAATAAATTCTTTTTTAGCAGATTGACTAGACTGGCCTAGCCATGGCAATTAAATAATTTTTTTTTCTTGAATCATAGCCAGATGTGAAATTACCACGACTGGTCGATTCTACAGCATATCCACTGTTATTACTTATTCATGATATGCAGTAACCTTATGAAACCCTGAGTGGAACACTTCCAAAAGAGGAAAGTAGGCGTGTACTTGCACTAAAGATTCTACGGGTCAGGCCACACATGCATTATAGTTGAGTAAATAGGTCAGACCAAAATCTGCCTTTGTTATTGGTTGGCAGTTTACATGTTGCGCAACTCGTCATATTTATCACCAGGAAAACGTGGTGACAACTATAGAGGGTGCGGCAGAACAGACCATTCGTGGTAATTTCACATCAACACAGAAGATTCTACAAACATGGTCTAAATGAATTATCAGATAAATTTTTATTGCCATGATTGGGCCAGTCTACAGAGTGACTAGTCACTATTATTAGCTAATATCTCACTTGTGATGAAAGTTCTGGTGTACGCATCTATATACATTCCATATAAATTGTTTATAACCAGGTCAAGATATCAGACCAAAGTTATTCCATCGGTTCCATGATGGGAAAGACTCCAGACGAGGTCAAAGAACAGAAGACTCTTAAACTTGAAAAAACAATTGATGAGGTAGTATAGTCTGATTACCCATACATCCCTCCCACTTCCTCTCAAGCTATTTCAACAATCCTATTTGCAGCTCTCCTGCCATCTTGAATTCCTCGATATCCCATGAGCCTTTGCTTGCACTGAAGAATATTGGTTTTGGAGTTTTTTGTTCAGGGATAGTTAATTAAGATCATAATCACATGTGTTAAATATCAGAAGCTGTTCATGTTAAACCTCATCAGCATCTATCAAGATATTCAAGATGGCAACCAAACTGTAGATAGGTATTTTATTCATGAGTGCTTACAAGAAAAAGCTCTTGCATTATTTTTTATCTGAAGACCACTTCATCTTCATTCTCAGCATGTCTGCCTGGTTTTTGAGAAACCAATATCTTGCCATTAATATGCAATCACTGTTTTAAAATGTCTTCTTTTTTGTACAGTTATGGCACACATGAGTCCACTTTGTATTTATTGATCATTGCATGTTACTAGATGTATTGATGTGATCTGCATGTCCTTCTTATAGGTCACTGCTTTAATCTGGTTTTTAGGAAAAGGGGCTTTATTTAAATTTTCAACAAATCATAGATACTTCTTGTGAAAGTATTCATCTATCACACCATTTGCATCTGTTTTCATAATTTGTGTATCACTAAAAATACCACTCATCCATGAAATGTTGTTTTGCTTTTGATGATGTATTGCTTGCTGTTATAGGATTTTTAAGGTTGTGGTGTGGGAGGTGGATGGAGTTGGGTAGTTATTGGTTGGAGAAATGGTTTTGGGTGGAGTGGGGTAGTTAGTGGTGAGTAGGTAGGTGGTTTGGGTTGTTGTGGGATAGTTAATGATAGTAGAAATAGTAGTAGTGGTGGTGGGTGGAGTGGGGTAGTTAGTGGTGGGAGAAATGGGTGTGGGTGGAGTTGGGGTAGTTAGTTGTGGGAGAAATGATTGTGGTGGGTGGAGTTAGGGTAGTTAGTGGTGGGAGAAATGGTTGTGGTTGTGGGTGGAGTTCGATAGTGGTTGCAGAAGTAGGAGTGGTGGGTGGAGTTAGGTTAGTTAGTTGTGGGAGAAATGATTGTGGTGGGTGGAGTTAGGGTAGTTAGTGGTGGGAGAAATGGTTTTGGGTGTGGGTGGAGTTTGGTAGTTAGTGGTGGGAGAAGTGGGTGTGGTGGGTGGAGTTGGGTAGTTAGTGGTGGGAGAAATGGGTGTGGGTGGAGTTGGGGTAGTTAGTGGTGGGAGAAATGGTTGTGGGTGTGGCTGGAGTTGGGGTAGTAGTGGTGGAAAAAATGGTTGTTGTGGTGGTGGGTGTAGTTAGGGTAGGTAGTGGTGGGAGAAATTGTTGTTGTGGTGGGTGGAGTTGGGTAGCTAGTGGTCAGAGAAATGGTGTGCTGTAGCAGGTGGAAGGTATAATTCTGGTATAATGCATGATACATGCATGGTCCAAAAAATAATGTACTATGTGTATAAAAAGATTGGAAGATACAACTATTTTTAATAGATTTGAGTTTCTCAAAATTGAATCTTAATTTTTCTTGGCAAGCATTTTTCTACAATATTTCGGTAATTTTTGACCAAATATTTTAGAGCAAATATGGTACTTATATTTTTTTCCTTCAGTACAATCGCCTAAACACTGGAGCTAACAAAACTGTGTAGTAAGTAACATGATTTTGGTTTGAGTGAAATTACCACATAGTCTTCCATTACAGCTAGATAAACAGGTCGAATTTCTACATGATAAGACAGAGTGTGCTAACGAAGACCTCAAGGCCGACTTGGACAGATGGCATAAAAACAAAAGAAAAGATTTTAAAGAACTCTTCATTGGTCTTGCAGACAGAGAAATACAATTTTATCATAATGTGAGTGAATATTTTTTCTACTGTAAAATCTGTATTAGAAGCCATGGTTTCTATTAAAATGGTACAATGCAACAGAGGGGATGCTGCTTCTATTAGAGCATCTACACATATGAGAAATGGTGACTTTTTGGTTCTCAATTGTTCATAAAGAATGTGTGCGGCTTCTATCAGGGATGCGGTTTCTAATACAGATTCTACTGTAATTGATGTTGCAACATTTTTCTGTGATGGTTGTTGTTAAATCACATAATTCAGCACTGCTTAAAGGACCTGACCTAAATTTAGTAAAACTCGTAAAAGAAATGTTTGGTGAAAACTGGCAAAAATATTGTATAAAAATGTCTCGCCGGTTTTGTCGTGTTCTACAACATTAGCTTTTCTTGTAGTTGAGAGTTGATCATTTAAAAATAGAGGGGGAGAATTTGAAAAAAAAATATCAGAATATCCTAAGGATAAATCTTTATTAATAAAACACAGATTTGATATAGAAGAACAAACAATGTTACAGTAATATCATGCAGAAAGAGAAAACATTGTCTACCTTTTTTCCCTGCAGTGCTTCTCATGGTACCTCTTAGAACTAGTAAAATCTTAACCAAGATTCATTTGAAAGTGTCTTCATGGTTACCAATTGATCTCTGACATTTGGCTAAAAAAAATTGTTTTGTTGCCCTCAGCGACCGACCGAAAAATATGAAATATTGGGTCACGTTTTTTTTTTGTTTTGTTTTTTAATAGGCCAAAATAATTAAAAACTTTAAGCAGTAAAAAAGTGTTTTCTCTAAAAATTAACGATCTCGTACTGTTGTTTGGTCCCCGGGGGATAAGTGGCGACGTTGAACCTTGGGTTGATCTGTATATCTCTGGAAAAAAAATCCGACCGACCAACCCAATTTTCCGACTTGAGCACAACATAAGTTTTTTTTTTGGCCTTACATAGACTTTACTTTGTGTGATGAAATATACTTTTATGACATAAGAGTAATATTCAAACTTAATAAAACTATCAAAGACCTGTCCATGCTTTTTCTCGTTTTCACTTTCTTCTAATAGTTCAAACTTAGATAACTCTCAATCAACTTAAAATATCAGCAAAACATGACCAATCGACTCATTAACACATTAATTGTTATTCTTTCATATTAACATACTTCATTATTAACTGATGTTCTTACAGTGAGACAATCGTTTTTTCTTCTCAGACACTCTCAGCATGGGAAGAGGTGATTCAATTCCTCCAGAAACAGAATTCCGAGGGTAGTCCACTGGAACCGCCATCTAATCCCATTGAAACCATCCAACCTGAGTTGAGAGCTGTGGAAGACAGCGAAGGTGAATAAATAATCTGTGCTTGGATAAGTTCACTATTCTTTGCTCTCTATCAACTGTATTTTAACTGGATGGAGAAAACAACCCTTCTCAAACTCTGAAATAGATACAATTAATACATGAATTCCAGTTTACGTCCTGCTTTTTAAACTTCTGTAGCATGGCATCAATATGGAGAATGTGGTTCAAAGTTGTGAATGGGTGAAACAGTTAGAAACTGCTGCATATCGAAATAAGTATTCACATTCCTGAACTTTTATTCATATTCCTTTTATAATTCACTCTCTGTATATTTATGTGTCTGTCCCACATCTTCCACCCAAAGCCACACATATTGAAGATTTCATCAGAATTTCATTTTTTGTTTTCATTCTTTTCTTGGCATGTGTTTTGTGTTATAGAGCTACCTGTGTTGTTGTATATTTTCATGGGATGACACAGTTTACATATCTACAATTAACATTATAATTATATTATTTACATATTCATATATGTATAGATTCCTTGCGTCCTTCTTAACACAAAAATTGTGAAAATGTACATAGATACTTCATTTCAAAGCTTAGGCGCATTAAAGTTGGTTGTATGGAAATCTATATCAGCACTTCCAATGTGTACAGGTTATAGGAGTTTCTTTTTAGTTTAGTTCACTTTTCTTTTAGTGTTCTCTTCTAGAATTTTTTATCAGCAAGTTTTAGTTTGTGTGATTATATAAATACCTTGCCAGTAATGTATATAATAAATTGAAAGTTTACCTTCAAGAGAGTTACTGGTGTATTTTAGTGATAGATCTATATCTTTGTTATCGAGATGTGTAGGTGAGATGTGACATCCGTCTTCTGCAATATAGATTCTGTTTTTACACTCTGTACTTATAACAAACATATTGTGATATCTGGGAAACTGAATTTACTCTAGGCTGTGGAAAGCTTAATAATGAAATGAAACAAATTATTCTTAAAAAAAATGAGCATATTTAAGTGGTTTATTAGCGTAGATTGATAGGTGCCAAATGTAATAAAAGTGAAATTAAAAAGTTATGGTTGATCTATTTGCAGAATTCTGACATACTGCAACATTGTTTAAAAATAGATTGAACGAGTTTAATGGTGCGCAAAATTTCTGCCATATAATTTACAAGTTGACATTGTGTAATCAGAATTATTTAATGATTGACTGTTAAATTGGAATATTACAGATGTGGCCAGGTAAAAACTAATTTTTGTCACACTAGCACTTTTATGGTTTTTAATCAAGTATTAGAATGTACATCTCTTGGAGAAATTATTGTTACAGATAAGAGATAGACATACATTTTTCAGAGGTTGTATACTGATACATGTCTGCGTTTCCACCATTGTAATTGTAATTTATTGTATCAGAACCTTAAAGATTAAATGAAGTATATGGAATAAAAAAAGCAATATTTGTATTGTATATTCTAGTCTCCGAATTGTTATTTCTGTATGCGAAGTATTTGTAGGTTTCACACCACATTTACAGTCTGTATCATTGTGCAGATCCGTATGAGTACCTACAAATGTTATTCTTTCTATTTTGGAAAAAAAAAAAAAAAAACTTTTTGCAAGAGATGGCATGCATGCATTTTAGTTTATTTTTACCGGAAAAACTAAGCCTTATATTTTTTAGTGAAATTTTAGCCAAAACTATTAAACTAGTTTTAAATGGTAAACTGTCAATTTTGATGTATTACGTTACTTAATTTTTTCCAATCTTGCCAGTACCAGTGTGACTGATTCAGATTCATTTTTGGGATTTACAACTTCTGTGAAGGTATGGTTCATTATTTGATTTGGAAACTATACAAATTATTCTTTAAATTGTGGACACCTAACTTGTCTGATCTGCATTGTAAAATACTTCTTTGAATAAAGTACTGTGAAATAAAGTAATTTACAGTAGCCATGCTTCTTGTGTTTATAAATTGTCATTTTTGGCAGTTTAATTTTTACTTTATTGTTCAATATGTCACTGATATCTGAAGTACTAAAATAAAAAGTTGATTTACTTGTAAAACTAGTTTAGAAGTGACAAAGATGAGGTGTTCACTGAACCATAACTGACTCCATACTCTATTTACCAGTGTATGTGGGCCTCTATCAGATTTATTCATTTCATGACAATATCCTCAGATCACTATTTTTGTCATTTATAGTAAAACATGTTGTGAACTTAAGATGACTTACACGTTGTGCATCTTATAAAGTAGAGATTTATGTTCTCTTCTGTTCAATTGAATATGGTACTATATTTAATTGTGTTATAAATATCTCCTACATCAAATCCATGCCTTCCAATTCTCTCTTCACACACAAATTATTTCATGTACTGTGGTACTGATTGCTTACGAAATGTGCATAACCAACTTCCGGCTGCTTGTTTGTTTTTTGCTAAAACATACAACACCACACAAATTTTGCAGTGGCCATTAAAATAAGTGAAACAAAAATTTGGTGTGCACTTATTTGATGGTACACAATAAATATATTTGAATTTTCTGACTAAGGAGTGGACCATTTGATATCCTGGGGGGCAGGAAGATTGCAATGAAGCCTACTTTTTTTCCCCCATCTGATATGGAATTTTTTTTTCAGCAGACCTTGTCTCTAATTTTTTTTTTTTTTTTTTTGCACTCAACAGTTGTTTTTATTTTTTTCAGTATTTTAAACAGTGGAGTCATCACCTGCACATGCGCCAGATAGCCATAGCGTGTCATTGTTTACAAACAAACGTCTACCCATGAGCCTTTGCGTTTTAGCATGTGTTGGGACTCAATTTCCGCCAATGCGCAGGTGACGACCCTCCCGCTTTAAGTAAAGCGATAATAGCCCTCTTTAACATCATGAAAGGGTTTTGCTATCAGTCCACCTCCTGAATGTATTATCTCTTTCAAACCACGATCGTCCAAACCAGGCTTCTAAACAGTACACTAAACTACTTGACATTTATTTACCGACCCACCTGAAAAAATTCCAGACCATTTGGTAAAGGAGAAGAAAGCGTATCAAACGCCTGGCTGGAGAGGAACATCAAGCTCTGGCTGTTGAAAAACTAAGGCAATTCCTCAAACAATCGTGGAAAATGGTGCAGCCCCCCCCCCCGCCCCGAATGGCAGGAAACGCAATTCTAGCCTCAAATAAGCCAGTGCTTTGGCACACAAACCAAACGGTCTTTTTCAGGGCCACCACATCCTCCCAAAAGAGTACTACTGTTATTACAGTAACTATGGACCATACAATCAATAACACAAAACGTAATAGACACTTCTCACGTAAGAAACACATTGCAAGATGCAAACGAATAAAGAAATGCAATGCAAAACTGGCTAGAAAATAAACAGTTGGCTGATCAAGTTCAGTTGATCTCAAATTTTATTCGGAATTTTTCGACAGAGAAAATATCAGAATTGATTGACCACTATTTAATTCCAATCGTTAAAAGGCAACATACATACATCAAATATACGACTGATTTTATTAACAAAATCGAAAAAATACAAGTATCTGAAAATAACGTCCTAGTAACCATGGATGTCGTATCGATGTTTACTAATACTGTTCACGAAGAAGCGATGCGAGCAGCCGCTAATGCAATGCAATGCAATCGAATTACTATCACAATGATAGTCCTTTGAAAACACTACCTTTGGAATATATAATTAAACTCCTTAAAATCATTCTGAAAAGAAATGCATTCGAGTTTAATAATGAATCAGGTGCAGCCAACGGCCAAATTTTCCAAAACCGTCATTATTAATAATTGTCCATCATGTACATACTTTTTATCGATATTTGACACGTTTTTAAATTTGGAGGGGAGGGGTTAAGCTGTTCGTAATTCCCCTCCCACTAACGTCAAAAAAAATGCCCTCCCACTGCATCTAGGTTCCCGCTGCCTTCTCCCCACCCATCACCCCCTCTCACTACCTCCCCTCCCACTAGTGCCTGCAAAAAAATGCCCTCCCACTGGGTAGTGGTCTTCAGAGCCCTCTCGCCACCTGTTCTTACACATCTTCGAAATTCATTGTACAAGAGCTCAACCTACTTAAATCCTACATGCAGTTAATTCTTCAACTTGATGTTTTATGTGTAGATTCAACCATACTCGAGCATACCTCAGCCATGACTCAGCATATTTCATTAAACCTCAAGTAGTGTGCGGGCTTTGTTTGTTTTGC